ATAAAAAATAAATAAAAAAACAAGGACAATCTTTAAATTTTTCACATTTATTTATTTATTTATTTATTTGATGTGTGTGTGTGTGTGTGTGTGTGTGTGTGTGTGAAAGCTTGGATAGATGAGGCACTTGACTTGAGTGTATGTGTAGAGGTCTGTCAAGGTTCTCTAGAGTCACAGAACTTATGGAATGTCTCTCTATATTGAGGGTATTTATTGTAATGACTTACAGTCCGTAGTCCAACTAACCCTACAATGGGCAGCCATGAATGGGAATTCCAATAATCTAGTAGTTGCTCAGTCCCACGAGGCTAGCTGCTTCAGCTGCTCTTCTGTAGAAGTAGGTTCCAACAGATGTTCTGGCAAGTAAATGCAAGCAGGTGAAGAAGAGGGAATCTTCCTTCTTCCAATATCCTTATTTAGGTCTCCAGCAGAAGGTGTGGCCCAGGTTAAAGGTATGTACCACCACACCTGGATCATGGACTTGATTTGTCCCAGATTGACCTTGAACTCAGAGATCTGCTTGCCTCAGTCTCCTGGGGTTAAAGGCATGTACTTACTTACTACCTTGCCTGGGCCTAAGCTTTTCATGGCCACTATGCCTCAAGATCTCCATGCCAAGATCCAGGTCAGAAACTTATGTCTTCCAGCCTCAAGATCTGGATCACAGATGTGCCCTCCAATTCTGGATTGTAGTTCATTCCAGATAGAGTTAAATTGACAATCAGGATTAGCCATCACAAGGTCACAGAGCATCTTTCAGGAGTCAGTTCTCTCCTTCCACCCTGTGGGTCCTGGAAAACCTTACCAGTTTAACAGCAAGTGCCTTTATGTGCTGAGCCATCTTGGCTGATTTTGAGACTGGATCTGGATACATAGTGAGGACTGGAGGACTGTGTGCCCTCCTGTGTCAGTTTGGTGAGTGCTGGGATTACATGTATGTACTACCATGCTCACCTTTTAAAGTCAGTTTTATTAAGCTAGAATCTACCTTCTGGAATGTGTGGTTTTTGGGTAGTGTCCCTGTTTTGACGAATTTTGCTGTTTTGTTGATTTTTTTGTTTTTCTATTTTTTTTGTTTGTTTGTTTTTGTTTTTGTTTTCAGTGTTGGGGATTGGACTCAGGTTCCTGTGCACATTAGGCAAGTTCCTTGACACTTGATTCAACCTCATTTTTTTGTTCTTTTACTTGTTTACATTTTATTCTTTGATATCTTCATACACGTCTAAAATGAATTTTAGTCTTCTCTACGTCCTATGGCTGTCTCATCCCCATGTTTCTAAGACATGGTCATGTGACCTTACCCAGACGGACCCTAAGCTCCAGATCCTCCTGTGCCAGCCCTACCCCCAGGTCTGGGACTATAGGTGCATGCTACCATGCCTAGATCCTATTCTCTTTTCATTCTAGATATTTCATATCATGGAATCATACAGTAAGCCTTTTGTGTCTGGTTTTTTTCATTTACATTTCTGTTTTCAAGGTTTGTCTGTGTTGCAGTATGTGCCCATACTTAATTCATTTTTATGAATGAATACTATTTTATTTTAAATATACCACATTTTCCTTGTCAATTTAATCACTGTTGTTGACTCTTTGTCCTCTCTCCTTCTCTGAGATGGAATTTCTTACACAGTAGCCTAGGCTGGCCTGGAGCTCAATGTATAGCCCAGGCTGGTTTCCAGATACCCTCCGTTTTTGAACTACTAAGTGACGGAGATTATAAGGATAAGCACTACACCTGGCTTTAGGTATGAGTTTTAATGCTGACATGCACTGTCATTTGTCATGAGTATATGCTTACCCAATAATAGAATTTCTAGGTCAGAGGGTAACTGTCTCAGCTATGGCTGCTTCTGCTGTGATGAAACACCATGACCAAAAGCAGGTTGAAGAGGAAAGGGTTTATTTTGCTTACACTTCTATCAACCAAGGAAATCAGGACGGGAATTCAAGCAGGGCAGGAATCTGGAGGCAGGAGCTGATGTAGAGGGTTACTGGTTTACTGCTTACTGGTTTACTCCTTAGAGCACTCAGAGCCCAGGGTGGCACCGCCCACGATGGGTTGGGCCCTCACTCTTCAATTACTAATTAAGAAAATGCCATTCAGGCTTGCCTACAGCCCAATCTTATGGAGGCAAATTATTTATTGATGTCCTCGCCTTTCAAACAATTCTTGCTTGTGTCAAGCTGACATAAAAGCTATCAGGTACAGTCATGTAAAAAGGGCTGCCTTGAAGCTGGCCTTCAGCCTCTGTCTCTTTTTACCTTCTATTCCTAACCCTCTGGCTGTCAAGAAGCTGTCCCTGTAATGAAGGCATTAACTGCCAAATCTGTCTTTAGTCACCTAACCCTAATGGCCTTTGTAGCCTGCTTCCTCTGCAGGAGCCACTGAAAGCCCAGGTCTGTCATCCATTCTGGTGTTCTGGCTTAGGAAGACTCACCCACTCCATCTGCAGCCTCACTGTCCCTCCTTCCTCCAGTCATCATGGCCTCCTTCTTCCAGTCATCATGGCCCTTCTGGCTCCTGAGCCTCTTGCTAGAGCTCTGAAAAGTTGGACCCTCTTCTGTACCAATTTTGTATCCACATGACTTTTTTTCTACCAATTCTCTTTTCCCAAATTTGATCGTTTTGAGTGTCTGGCAACCCAGATCTTTGATTCTGGTAACAAGAAACTTTTTTTTTTTTTGAGTAATCATTATGTTTTATTTATTGCTGATAAAAGAAAGAATTTTTTTCCCTAATTCTCATAATGGCAAAACTCTGAATAAAAGAAACTCATTCCAAAAACCTTTCAGATGGCCAGAGGAGGGCTGGCTCTGTAGTTAGGAGTGCCTGCTACTTAAGAGTGCTTGCTGGTCTTGCCAAAACCCCAAATTTAGTTTCTAGCACCCATGTCACAAGGTTCACAAAGACTTCTAACTCCTGCTCTAGGGGATCTGACACCCTCTCCTGGCCTCTTGAGCACCTGCACATATGAGCAAACAGAGAGACACAAATACATACATAAACATAGACATAAAATAATTTTTAAAAAGCTGTTGGGACAGGAGAAATGGCTCAGTGGACAAGGGAGCTAGCTTGTCATGCAAGCCTGGAGACCTGAGTTTAATCCCTGGGAACTCACATAAAGGCATAAGGAGAAAACCAACTTTACAAAATAGCTGTCTGACTTCTGCATATGTATTTTGTGTCATGTATACCTCTGAATCATGCACGCACACAAACATATATACCACAATAGATACATTTCAAATGTTTTTTTTACAATTGCATGGTGGGGGTTGGACGAGTATCAAAACGCACTTACGTTAGGAGAATGTAATTGGAATTAGGGGGATTACATAGGAGAATTAAGTTCAAGTATTGTAGAACCGTATGGTAGAACTGCTACACACGTGTACACATACATGTTTATTTGTATTTGTTTATTTGTAGTTGAGGTGCAGGTTGCCAGATGTAAGACTTTGCACATGTTAGGCAAGAGCTCTGCCACAGGGCTGAAGCTAGACTTATTCATTCGTGTGTGTGGGAGATTAGTGGCTTTGTGTGTGTGTGTGTGTGCACATGGGCGTGCACAGGAGCGCATGTTGTATGTGTGCTTGTATGTGCATGTGTGTGCGCATGTTTATATGTGTGCTCGTGCGTGCGTGTGTGTATGCATGTATGTGTGTATATGTGTGTGTGTGCGCACATGTGCACACGTGTGTTTCAGGGCCCATTGTGAAAGGTCAAGACAAAAACTCTTGAGCGTCAGTTTTCTCTACCGTGTGGGCTTAGGGGTTCAAACTCAAATAGTCAGTCTTGGCAGCAAGCACCTTCATCTACTGAGCAAAAGCAGCTGCCCCAGATGCTGAATTTTATAAAGTTTTAACAAACAGGAATTTGAAGTTTCTCAACACAGATTTGAGAACTCTTTAAGATGGATATGCTAATTATTCAGATTTGACCGTTACATTTTATGTATATACCAATATATGTCAAATCATCACATTATAGTCCACAAAAATGTACAATTATCTGTTAATTAAATAAAAAACATTTTAAGCTACGTATTGTATTTGATTATTTTTCTTTCTTTTTCTTCTCCCCCCTCCCCCTTTTGGAGCTCGTTATGTAGACCGGGCTGGGTTAGAGATCCCCCTGCTTTAGTCTCCCGAGTGCTAGGATTAAAGACGTATGCCACCACTGACAGAATCTTATTTTCCTTTCTAAGATAAGGTCTCATATAGCTCACAGTGGCCTTGAACTCATTGTCGTCCTATCCTGTCGTCCTGGATAACTTTGACCCTCGGAGCCTCTACCTCCCAAATGCTGGAAAACATCTTCTCATTTTGAAACTGTAAATTTTTTTCCTGTTTTCTTTATTTTTGAATTTTACACTAAACTTATTTCTCTCTATCTTAAGAAAACAAATTTTGTTTTAAAAAGAAAAACAAACAAACAAAAACAATCCTGAGGTGTGGCTGTAAACAGCCAGTGCAGGAAAGAACATCACACAGCACCATGTGGAGAAAAGCAGACAAGACACCCAGTGGAGGAGAGGCCAGGGCCTACTTTGCATTTTGCCAGTTTCCTCTAAACAGAAGCACAGATGTATCCATTATTTACATATTAACACGATCCTCACAATGCGGTGTCTATTTGGACCCCACCATAGGCGGAACAATGGGCTTGAACCAGTGCCAGGCTCCTCTCTCTCTAGATTTAGGAGAGAGAGAACTTGAGAGGAGGCAGCAGGATTCTGTCTGAGGTCTGTATATCCCGGAGACGTCGGACTTTTACAACCTTCTTCCTCCAGTAGTTTCTGGGTTTAGACCACTTCTGCCCTTTTTTCACTTATGTATTTATTTGTTTGACCCTCTAGGCAATAACGGTCTCCTTCCTTTGAGTGGATAGAAGCTGCCTATGGGAATGCAACAGCGGTCTCCTAGTAACCATGGGAACCTTATTGGCATGGCAACCTGGCAGCCCTGAGAGAGGCAGCCAGGGTGGGGGGTGGAAAGGAAGAAGGCAGTGGGAAGTGTTGTAGTCCTGAGAAAGAGGGGAGGGGGATGCAGCTTTCCATCTCGCTGAGGAGAGAAAAGGAAGAGAAAAAAATGGCCAGCTGGTCCTTTAGCTCTCTGACTGATACTGACAAGTTCTGCTTGAATTCAAACCTGGAATCTCCATCTGGTTGGTGGAGAAGAGCTATACACCAACCTGGGCATGGCAACTTAAATCTACTGATGGTTCTTTGGCTCTAAAGTGAGATTTGGTTGCACCAGAAACAGAGTAGAGTCTAAGCAGACAGACGGAAGGATCTCACAACACACAAACAAAGGTGACTGCTGAGTTCAGATGCAAATACCAGCCAACGCTATGGAAGTCTGTAAGCCTTTGCAGTACTTGAATCCTATCTAGACACATGCTTTTGTAAGTTCTGTTCTCCTTTTGTAATGCTACAGATAGAACCCAGGGCCTCACATTTGCTAGGTAAGTGCTTCCTACCACTGAGCTATACCTCTAGTGTATTTCATAACTTGCGTTGCCAAATTAAAAAGGATCTTTTTTATTACAGTTGTCTAGGGGATGAGGAAATCTTCAATGAGCACTTAAGTTAGAAAATTAATCTTTCCATACATTTGAGAACGGTTGGGGATACGGTCAAAACAAAACAAGTAAAGGAGCCAAGAATACACCAGAATGACAAAACATTAACTTTTTTGAAGAGAGAGTCTCCCTACCTAGTCCAGGCTGGTGTACTCTAGAGGCCTCAGCTTCCTAAGTGCTGGAAGTATATATCTGTATGTATTGACTTGTATCTTGATGGACGTTTGAGTTATTCATACTTCTTTATCTTAAGGACTTATTATTTTATGTGTATGTGTGCTTGCCTGTGTGTACGTGAGGTGGAGTATGCCTGAATGCCGAGGCCAAAAGAAGGCATCAGACCCCTTGGAACTGGACTTACCCATGGCAATGACTGTCATGTGGATGCTAAGAACTGAACCTTGACGCTCTTCAAGAGCAGTACAGGATCTTAACCATTGAGCCATCTCTTCTGCCATCACTTTTCTGGGGGGATGGTGTGGCGTGGTGTGCTGGCTTGACTAGGAACGGTCACCATAGGTGAATAGGGAGTGGCACTATTAGGAGGTGTGACCTTGATGGAGGAAATGTGTCACAGTGTGCGCAAGCCTTGAGGTCTCATGTGCTCCAGCTTTGCCCAGTGTGGGACACAGTCTCCTTTCGGGACACTGAAGATCCAGATGGAGAACTCTCAGCTCCTCTCCAGCCCCATTTCTATCTGTGTGTCACTGTGCTTCCAGCCATGACAATAATGAACTAAACCTCTGAACTGTAAGCCAGCCCCAATATTTTCCTTTAAAAGTTGGTATGGTCGTGGTGTCTCTTCACAGCAATAGAAACCCTAATTAAGACAGGGGTGGTGGTGTTTTAAATAAAGTTACTGTGAGCATGTGGATACCAGATTTTGTGTGTGTATATAGAACACATTTTATTTTATAGTGTACGAGGCATCACAGTCTGCATAATAGGATTAGATAAAGAAATGGTGACAGTAAAAGCCAGAGATGGTGGCGTACTCATGTAATCCACACACTTGGACAGTAAAGACAGAAAGATCAGAAGTCCAAGCTCAAGTCCAGTTATACAGAAAGTTCAAGGCTAGCCTGGGAATGTGAAAGGCTATCCCTTTTAAGGATTTGCTTTTTTTTTCAAAAAAATCCATTTTTATTATTTTTTTAAATCGTGTGTGTGCATGTTGGGTGTAGATGCCCACAGAGAACAGAGATATTGGATCCCCAGGCATTAGAGTTGGAGATATAGGCAACTGTAAGGTATCCTGCATGGGTGATGGAAACTGAATTTAGATCCTCTGGAAAAGCAGTTAAGTGCTCTTCACCATCGAGCCATTTCTCTAGCCCTCTCACCTCCTTTTTAAAAATTTTTATTTTATGTGTATGGATGGGTGTTTTGCCTGAATGTATGTAGTATTTGGAATCAAACTCAGTTCCTCTGGAAGAGCAGCCTGGACTCTTTCTTTCTTTCTTCCTTTCTTCCTTTCTTTCTCTCTTTCTCTCTATTTCTTTCTTTCTTTCTTTCTTTCTTTCTTTCTTTCTTTCTTTCTTTCTTTTTTTTGGTTTGTTTTGTTTTGTTTTTCGAGACAGGGTTTCTCTGTGGAGGCCTGGCTGTCCTGGAACTCACTCTGTAGACCAGGCTGGCCTCGAACTCTCCAACTCAGAAATCCACCTGCCTCTGCCTCCCAAGTGCTGGGATTAAAGGTGTGCGCCACCACCGCCCGGCCAGGCTGGACTCTTAACCAGTGATTCATTTCTCCAATTCCAAGGGACTATCTTAAAAAAAAAATTCTTGGGGTTTGTTTTCGTCACTGTTCTATTGCTTGGAATAGATACCATGACCACAGCAACTCTTATAAAAGAAAACATTTAATTGAGGCATTGCTTACATTTTCAGGGGTTAGTCCATTATCATCCTGGCAAGGAGCATGGTGGCAGGTTGGTGGAGCAATAGTTAAGAGGTACATCCTGGTCCAGAGGTCAAGAGAGAGACTCTGGTCTTGGTTTGGGTTTTGGAAACCTCAAAGCCCACCCAGTGTCATGCTTCCTCCAACAGGACCACACTTTCTAATTCTTCTAACCCTTTCAAATGCTGCACTCTCTGGTGACTAAGATTTAAAAATATATGAGCCTACTAGGACCCTTCTATTCAAATCACCTCAGGGTTGGAGAGAGAGAGATCAGCTGTTAAGAGTGTGCACTTGAAGAAGATCCAGGTTCTCTTCCCAGCACTCATGTTGGGAGGCACACAACTGCCTGTAACTCCAGCTCCAAGGAATCCAATATCTTCTGCTGGCCTCAGAGGGCATGTGTACAAATCCACACACAGTGGCTGAAGAGTTGGCTCTGTTGTTATGAGCACTTGCTGCTCTTGCAGAGGATTCAAGTTTGGGTCCTAGCACCCATATTGTGGCTCACAGCCATCTGTATCTCCAATTTCAGGGGATTTGATGTCTTCTTCTGACCTCTGTGGGCACCAGGCATGCAAATGGTACACTTGCATACATACAGACAAAATACATATACACATAAAATAAAAGTAAACGAATACTTTCGGGAACACCCCTCTCCCCACCACATGCACATTAGAGATCAAACCAGGAATCAATTGCTGAGCCCCAAAATATATACTCATTCTAAAACATTACCCAATAGGGCAGGGGTACGCTCTCAACTTCAGAGATAAGTTCAAGGAAGGTCAGGAATTGAAGGTTATTCTCAGCTACAGAGAAATATCAAGGCCACCCTTTGACGACACATTGAGACCCTGTAACAACAACAACAACAACAAAATCCAAATCAATCAAACAACTCCAAACAAACAAGCAAAACACGACTCATTATTTATCTAAGATTCAAACTTTTGAATTTTTTGACTCACTCTATCTGGGCAGTGGCTTGGCTGATCCACTGCATGTCTGGATGATGCTGTTGAAGTCCCGGGGCTGACGCCCCGATGGCCCGGGGTTCCGATACATATCTTCTCTAAGGGACCGTAGGACATGACAATGAGCAGAGACCCGGTCGCGTCACGCTTCACGGCGCTCCTACCGGAAGCTGCCCTTTTGTCTCACTAATCGAGATTGGATTGGAAGTTGCGATCTTCCCGCTTCAATAACAGAAGTTTTAGTTAGAGAAAATTATTACACAGGTACTTTCCACAGTGGGCACGTGGAGATGAGAGGGTAACAGCTTTCCCCTTTCACTACGTGGGTCCTGAGGACTGAACTCGCATCATCAGGCTTTGTATTGAGTACGGTAGCCTCCTGACCCATGTCACTTGTCCTAGCCTCCACAGTGTCTTTTAAAAACTGCCTCCAGTTGGTAGAATGCCAAGTCAGTATGTAGGAAGTCTGAATCCTCCTCACCACATAAAATCAGGCAAGGAGAGTGAGGCAAGAAGATAAAATTCAAGATCAGGTTAGACTACATAGTAAAGTCGAGGCCAGTTTAGGCTACGTGAGATTCTGTCTCAGATATATAAACAAACCAGATCAAAGAAACCTGATCCCAAACCACCTCCGACTTTATTTAAATTTCTCTACTGTATTTTATTTTGATTCGTTTTTGCAGTGGTAAACATTGAACACAGGTCCCTCAGCATGCCAGGCAGCACTACCACTGAGCGACATCCTCAGGGCATTAAAGTCACTGTGTGGTCATGGACTATCTTCTAATCTCTTTGTGTCTGTTTCTTCACGTGTAGGCACATACTTTATAGGCATATTAAGAAGTAAGCGGGGCATTGGTGGCGCAGGCCTTTAATCCCAGCACTTGGGAGGCAGAGGAGGCAGAGGCAGGTGGATTTCTGAGTTCGAGGCCAGCCTGGTCTACAGAGTGAGTTCCAGAACAGCCAGGCCTCCACAGAGAAACCCTGTCTTGAAAAACCAAAAAAAAAGAAAAAAAAAAAAAGAAAACAAGAAGAAGTAAAATGAAAGGTTTATATATACACAATCCTATGTCAAGAGCCAAGAAAATTAAACCTATAAATCAATTCCAAATTCCATTTTCTTTAATAATTTTCTCTAACTAAAAAGACAAACTTAAACACATGCCTATTATTAAAATCTATTAATTTAAACTATATTTTCTTTCTTCTAAATTTATTTAGTGGTCTGTGTGTATGTGTGTTTTATAATCTATCTAAGGAAAACTAAAATTTGAAAAACTTTTATTTTTCAAGTCTCACACTTGTTTTTTTTTTTTAAATTATTTTAATGAAAAGTTTTTCATTCAATATATTTTGGTCATGTTTTCCCTTCTCCTAACTCTTCCAGCTCCTCCCGACCTTCCAGCTCATCCAGCTTTATGTTTAAGAAGCAAGCTGAACAGTAATGGTGCACACCATTAATCCCAGCACTCCAGGGGCAAAAGCAGGGGTATCTCTGAGTTTGAGGCCAGCCTGATCTACAGAGCAAGTTCCAGGACAGCCAGAAGGGCTACACGGAAAAACAACAGCAAAACAAGAAATAACACCTCTCCTCCCCAAAACACAGAAAAACAAAAATGAAAATCAAACTCTTAGCACTCAAGAGGTTAAAGCAGAAATGCTGTTGAAAGTTTAAGGTCAGTATGGGAGATATCGTGAATTAGTTCCAGATCAACTGGGACTACAGAGTCAGACTTTGTCTCAAAAAAAAAAAAAAAGTAAGATTCCATAGGTTGCACAAATAGCTGGTGGTAACATGGTAACGCAACTATTGAAGCCCCAGACCCTTGACTCCCTGAGTTTTGCCAATGAGCTCTCTCCTCCCCCTTTAATTTTAGAAAGCTTTTAATGTGATTTGCTTAGATCACCCACAATCACACAATTACATGAAACACCACACTGGGAATTTTTCCAAGTCTCAAAAGTAGTAGTAGACATTGAGAAAGATTTCTGTTCTAAACAAG